AAAAATGAATCCAAAATATACTTCACCAAAAAAATCATTTGGCATTTAAATAAACTCATTCGTTCACAAAAAAAAAGCATCTGGGTTCAGTAAAACAGAAAACAGTTGTTGAACACTTACTTGAGATATGGGCAACAACAAAAAAAATTTGCAAAAATTTCATAAAACTTTAGGTAAGAGTTTAATAGCTTTTAATGGATTAAGTTGTAAAAACTCATCTAGGCTGGAAGAGTTATTTTTAAACGTTGACTGAATTTTCAGAATTGTTTTCAGAGCTGCTCAAAATTCTGTTTCAATTATACCAAACTGGATCTAAAATTGTTCTTCAGAAAAATTCTCTTTAATCTTTAATCAGAGTCAGCAACATGAACTGAAAAAGAGTTACATGAGTTACATTGCTTTCTTGATTTTGTTGAGTTTATAATTCTTATTCATTTTTTTGCCAGTTGAATCAGTTTGCAATTAATTTTTCAAAGCTGCAGCGGTGTAAAGAAATATAATTAGGTTTTTGATTATATATTTTATAAAACTACATAAATAAAGTTATAATAAAGAAATAAACATTTTCTTTACTAGTCTTAACCATACAGCTAACATCTACATAAACTGCTGCAAGAAATAGCAAATTTTCTTGTAGCACATTTTCTCTATTGATCATTCCTTTTTAAATCTTTGGCTTTATCACTGTATTTCTTGTCTAATTCATACTTTATTGAATTCCAATCAAAAAAGAACTCACCTGCAGTGATATTCTCATGCTAATGACAAAAAGTAAGATCTTGCCATTTGCAAGACATCCCTCAATTCTTTCCAGACTCCCCAAAAACAAGGTATGGGGGTGTTAAGTTTTTACTGTTTGAATCTAGAAGAATAAAAGATTTTAATAAAAGTATGTATGAATCTTTAAACTAAATAACAGCAACAGGGTTGAACTTAAAAACTAAATATAAAAAAAAAGGTAATCATAACATAATTACATTGAGTTACCCAGTATTCAAAAACAGGTGTATTTATAATACACCTATTGTTGAAAAAAAAAAAAAGAAAAAAGAACTTTTTATAGTTTAATGATTATTACTTAAAATATAAAAATATACTGCAGCAAACTATGATTAGCCTCTCAATCATAATAAACTGACTAGACCAACAGATTGTCTGATCTAAAATTGGCACTAGATATAGGGCTTTCTAAAGAAGCCAATACACTTTGAATTTCTTGTATGGCTTTTTATTTAAGGCCTTTATCAATGCATCTTTTATGGCTAGTTGCAAAATGTAATGCTGCAAAACTACCATATTTGTTAAAGTCATCAACTTCTAACTGAAAATCAACATCGCCATTACTGATTATTCCAACGATGCAATACATATTTTCTTTAATCTTATTTTCACCTTAGCAAATCAAATTTTGATACAATATTTAGTGGATAATATTCAGTATTAAGAGCTTATCTTTTATATGATTTCATTCACAATAACATTTAACCAAAATAAATATTTTATTTTAAATAACTTTAACTTCATTTTAAATATGGAAGAATTTTAAAATAACTGGGGATTTTTGGAGTAAATTGCCAGCTTTACATGAATACAAATTTGAGCAATTTTGATAAAATATTTCATCATGTAAAGCAATTAATCTGAGAGTAATTGCTTTACGCTGAGTAAAAGTACTTGCTTTTTTTAATTTACCTGAGCTATTAAATTTTTATTTTTTTAGTCCCAAAATGAGTGGACCAAGTAACAGACAATGAATCTGTAATTTTAACACAGAATGGATGAAATCATATTGTTTTGCTCATTTAAAAAAAAATTGCTTTTGTTTGTTGTGTGTTAGTAGTATTGCAATGCCGAAAAAAATGTTGAATGAAACTTTCAGCCAATTCATGCCACTTTTGATGAGAATCATCCACTTAAATCTAAAGTAAGAAAGAAAAATATGACAACTAAAATCAAGTCTAACTGTACAACAGACTGTTTTCACTGAACATTTGCAAAATTCTAAGAAGGCTGGTTTTTTTAAAATTTCTCTCATGCTTACAAAAAAAACGAAACCTTTCAGTGAGGGTGAGTTGTTTAAAGAACTGTTGTTGATAGATTAAAACAAACTTATTTGACTGGTGTCGATTGTTTGTTTGATTGATTATTTAACAAACGTGAGATCCTCTCAGCAATACAAGACTTACAGCCATCTAAGCAATACAAGACTTACAGTTGTGAAATAACACCATTACAAGAAGAGTACATGGGATTTCAACAGACATACAAACTCAGTTAAAAACTGACTTGAAATTATGTGACTGGTTCAACAGCAGCGAGGATGTTTGTAAAACATTCAGAAAATACGATAAGTCAAATAATATGCCTTTGTACAAGCTGTCTGCAATAACCACCAATAGAGCATCAGCAAGGTAGGTAAAAAGAAAAGATTTTTGCCCTCTGCAAAAAGGATGAATCATTTTAAAACTTATGTCCTACCAATGTATTATCCACCAGGCATCACTATGTTATAAAATATTGTCATTTGAGCATGTTATGAAAATAGTTACAAAAACAATTAATTCTATTCGAGTAGGTCCTTTTTAACACCAACTTTTCAAGGTCCTGTCAGAATATACTAAAAAAAAAGAACATGATTTTATTCTGCATACTGAAGTATGTTGGCTCAGTAAAGGAAAGCTTGATATGTAAGTTTTATTAAGCAAATAAATACATAAACAACAATAAGGAATACTATAATGAACTAGCTGACTCTTGCTGGCTTATTGATTTGGGATTTATAACAAATAAGGAAAAATTGAATTCATTAAACTTGGCTTCGCAAGGGAAAAAAAAAAACATCTGAAATGATAAGCTCTGTAAAGTAATGTAAAGGTTAATTGGGTTTGTTGGTATCACATCTGTAGATCAATTCTCTTGTGCATTTCCAACATATCACAGTGGGCCAGAATTCACTTTAAATGGACAAAATTATTAAATAATTAAATATTAGGTCTTTATTTACTAAATTTGGCATGAGTACTAATATGAAGTCTGCACTTCTTATGAAAGTGATGCTTTTATATTTAATTGCTATGGGTACCTAATTTTGTTTAGCAAAAACCTCTTTTTGGTTGTTGCAGATGTTTTAATGTTATTTACATTATAATTAGTTTGTGCATTAAAATGAGATTTGTTCTTCTTATGAGATACACATTTATCATTTGGTTGCTATGGTTACATAGTTTTATGGATACCTAATTTACATAGTAACAACCAATTTTGATAGTTGCAGTTTTTTACGAGTTCAATATTCACTAAATTAGGCATGAGTTACCAATAGGAGGTCATAATTTTTTTAATCAGTAGCTATGGATACCCATATTGGTTAACAACCACATACTTTCCTTAGTTACACAAAGATAAATGAATTTTTGAAAAAAACTTTATCAAGTTTTTAACTGCTCTATTTTAAATAACTATTAAACATTAAACATTTAGGTAATTAATTTTAGGTAAAGATTTAGGTCATTAATAATAAAAACAAAAAATATTGCAATAAAACATTGACAATTTGAAACACATTAACAATTTATAAAACATATGTATTTATAAAACATATGCATAAAATAAGAAATCATATTTCAGGTGAGTCGACAGAGGAGCTTGAAGAAATCACTAACTCCTTCTGGCAGTTGAGATTTTGAATTTTGAGAATTTGACCTCCTTATGCTGCTGTTTATTGGGTGATAAGCATAAAAGGTGGCATAATACATCATCGTTTGTTTTTCAACAACTGGATCTGCGTGTAGTTTTCATGGAAATATTTGAAATCCTTGTTTCGTACTTCTTGTGCCTAAGAGAGCATGCCAATAAGCAAGACCATTTTCCTCACAACATCATGGCTATGCAATATCTTGTGCAAAATTTGTGGCATGAAATACCATTTGTAGTTCTGTACAAACAAATGAGCCACATAAAAGAGACAATCAATCATGTAATTAGAAAATCTAAGTTAGCTACAGCTCAGGATAGAAATATTACTAATAAATAAATTTACCTTAAGGCAGTACTTTTGAAATGCATTATTGCATTATTGGCAGAGCTGATGACAATGTGACCAAGATGACATGCAACTTTTTCAGCAGTAGTACATCCAGCTTTAAAATAAGCAAGGTGAAGACATCATTCCATTGTTCTAATCCATGCATGTAATGATGACAAGCCATACTGTAAACCAGAGTAGTTTGCGTTTTCATTATTTGATACCATTTGTTCAACATTTTTTATCTCTTTTTGTGTGCTGCCACACAACTTCTAGGTCAAATACCTAGAAGTTGTAAATCATTTGGCCTGGCTTCCTGCTTTAAAAAAATGAATAGCAGATAAGATTAGTTCCTCTGATGTTCTTAATTCTGCTAGTTCCTGACTTCTTCTATGCTTAGTTTTTGTGCCTGCATTTTCATGTTGTACTTTTTGCCTTCCATGGAACTGAAAGTAACTAGGGGAAGTGGTAGTGATAGTAATGCTTTTTTGTCTACAGCAATTTAATTCTCATTAAACCAATCGATGAACTTTTTTTCAAATACAGTGTTGATATTATATGCAATTCTCCATCTTTTTTTATATTTTTTAGTGAATTCATTAAACTTATCACTGCTGATACAATATATATCCACTTTTAGTATGCAACTTAAATAGCTTAAAAGTTGTTTATGAGTTTTAGAACTAAAAATGCTTATATTATTTTCACGTAAAAATATGTGAATATCCAATTTTGTGATCACCATGTCAGAAAATATTAACAATAAAATGAAAAATAGCTCCGCGTTTTTTTTTAAAATGGGACATTTAAATAATGAAATAAAACTTTTATGTTAAGCCAGCATTATCATTCATTTATTACATCTTAAAATGACATAAGTACCAATAACTGTGACTAAGTATTACCTTTTAAATGTTTAAAATGTTCAAATGTAATGAAATAGCTTTCAATACTGTTGCAATACAAAAAAAGTATCCATTAAAAAAATTAGGTATCCAATTATAAATATGATTTCCATAATAAGTGTGAATTGCTCTTTAATACACGTATTTATTATAGTGTACATAGTACAAATAATTTTTTTTTAAATAACATTAATGTAAAAATAAGTTGTTGCTATGTAAAATTTGGTACCATAGCAACTCAATGTGAAGCTTGATTTCATCTGCCTACACCATAAAAGCAAGTGTTTTGGTTTCCTTACGTGTTAAAGAACAGTTTTTAGCCATTCATTTGCTGCAATCAAGATATAGATAATATATTCTGAAAAATCAAGATATAGATCCCAACTGATGGATAAGAATCTTGTTTGCTAATAGGACTATAATCACACTCTCATAATTATGAGGCACTGGCCAATCATATGCAATCTCGGTGTAGTTAAGGCAATTTTAAAATATTATAGCGTCTGTATGATATTTTGTACACTATATAACATAACATAATTCCTTTAAATGATCAGGTCTGTGAGTTATTAAAAGATGATAAATTGATAAATTTTGAGGTACCATAAAATATAAAAGTTTATTGCGAAAAAATCCAGACCAAAGACTTTTTTTATTTATTTTCAAAATCACAATTGCTTGTCCAAATTTTGATAAAATTTTAATACTAATTTTAAATACTAAATTTTAATACTAAATTTTAATAATACTTTATATATTTGGAAAAATAAACTAGTCTATATTTATACAATGTAAAATGTAGTTGGACAATAAATTGAAACAGTTAATTAGGCAATAAAATAGAATTGGGCAGTGAATAATTGTGTAGTACAAAACGAAAAGATGAAAATAAAAAGACTACAGTTTGTTATAAATTTTATTTCAAAAAAGTAACAAGAAAACATTTTGATAAAACTAAAAAAAATTTATTGTTTTTCAAAAAAATTTGACTAATTTGCTTTAAAAAACTTCTTATATAACACCCCTCGAAAACATAGCAAATTTTTATAATGGTTAGTTATATATTAAACACATTATTAAAACAAAATTTTGTAATGTGTTTCTCATTATTATCTATAACTGAATTGAATCTGTAACAAGTTTGCATTTTAACATTATGTTTAATGCACTTTTACAAGATATTATTTGCACTTATTAAAAGTAAGTACTCATAAACTTGTTGCATAAGCATTTTTTTTTGTTTGTTGAGATATTTTTATAGTCATTTTAATTATTCTGTGAGTTAAGAAACAGATTCATGCATCTAAACTAATAAAGTTTTACAGCAAATTTTCATTCAACATTTTTGTGTGTGAATAATTTAGCATTTTGTAAGCAGAGTAAGCAGAAAACCAATGACATAAGGCATAAGTTGTCATGATAATGTATTTCTAGTTCAGAAAATGTCAAACAGTTTGTGTTACCACAAATTAATGAAATATTTATTTTTAGCCAGTTTCATCTTTTTTCAGAAGCAATGTAACTAACCAAAATGCAGATATTTTTAAAACAGAATTATTCTCCGCAGATAAACAATTTTTTACTTGGAACTTAACTCTAAAGTAACTAACTTTAAAATGAACTATGATGATAAGAAGATGTAAACTTTTGATTAAGTTTTCTTCTGCTGTGGTCTGTAACAACACTGTTTGTTACTTTTTGGAGTACCTTAATAACTTAAAAAAATAATAGCAGAGTCCAGGAGTCA